GCTTTATCAAGTAAGTGTCTAAGTATGTCATTTTCATGTTCATATTCTTTACATGATGCATAAGCTATTTGTCTATTTTCTTTTTCCTCTAAAGTCATTATTTTTTATTTTAAAGATTCTACTTCTTTTTTCGATTTATTCAAATTCTTTTTCAAAGATTTATATTCAGTTTTCAAATCTTTAAAAGCAACAAATAATTCTTGATATGCATTATGCAAAGCATCATAGTCATTATCATTATTTGAAGAACAGTCGGAATAAATTATCTCACAATCGGAAGAAATATTATCATTTGCCATCAAGCAAAGATTTGCTTCAACCTCCGAATCGCTTGATTCCGGACTTGAGTCACTATCATCCCAAGCTATATAAGCTTTCTTTTAGAAAAATTTATTTCCTCTATGATCATCACTTTTCTTGTTTAGATAATCGGATTTTACATGCCCTGTTTCACCACAACCATAACATTTAAAACTTAAAGAAAAACTTTCTTTTACCTTTCCCTTACCTTTGAAAGGTTGCTTCCCTTTAGTTTTCATGAACTTTGTAAATTTCTTGATCATAAGACTCAAGTTTTCATCTTCTTCATTTTCAGAGTCTTCTTCCTCCTTCTTGTTTTTACTCTTTGAAATTTCGGTTTTGAAGGCAAGGTTTCTCTTTTGATGTTGGCCTTCTTCATCATTTAACCTTCCAAGTTCAAGTTCATGCTCTCTCAACTTGCCAAAAAGAGCCGCCATAGTCATGGTACCAAGATTTTGTGACTCCGTGATGGTCGTCACCTTTGGTTGCCATTTCCTATCCAAAGATTTAAGAATTTTCACATTTTATTCATTAGTATAAAAAATCTTACCAAGCCCGGTGAGATGATTCACAATATGTGTGAAACATTTTTGAACGTCAAAAATTGTTTCTCCTTGTTGCATTCAGAACATCTCATATTCTTGAATCAATGAGTTCTTCTTTGCTCTTTTAACATCATTGGTACCTTCATGGGTTACTCTTAACATTTCCCACATTTCTTAAGCACTCTTGCAAACAAATATCCTGTAAAACTCATCAAAGGTTAAAGCAGACAAAATTATATTTCTAGCCCTAACATCATATTGAGCTTTTCTATTTTCTTCTGCAGTCCAACTAGAAAATGGTTTTGGTTCTTCTACATCATTTACAATAACTTTGGGAATAAAAGGAACATTTACAATAGCATCCCAAACACCCCTATCAACAGACTCCAAAAATATTTGCATTATAACTTTCCTAAAGGGATAATTTTGTCCCACAAAAAGTGGGGGTTTGTTGATAGAAGCACCCTCGACAAAGGTTTGGTTTTGTCCGGCCATTTTTGAAATTTGAATGACTATCAAAGCAAGCTCTGATACCACTTATTAGAATCGCGCAGTGGAATGTTCGCTTTTAGGGACAAAAACCAAGAGGAGGGGTGAATTGGTTTCTTATAAAAAATTACGGTTTTGAAATTTTCCCCCAAATTTAACCAATTAAAATGCTTGTAAAGTAAAGAGATAAAGGATAAGAAGATTACACAAAGTGTTTTATACTGGTTTGGATCAAAAGACCCTACGTCCAGTTGTTAATCACTCTAAAAGAGGATTAACGCTATCACTATAATCACAGTTTATAATAGATTACAAATTGAAAAGGATAAGGAATAAAAAACACCTCTCTTGAATCACACAAGAGATGACACCTCCTTTGAATCCACAAAGGATAAACAATAGTTTTTCTTAGAGATGGTACAACACACAATCCACTAAGAAACCCACTCAGTGATTCTTATCGCTTCTAGCCCACACTAGGTTTTTCTTCCTTACACAAAGTCCTCCAGCAATCACAGCTCTTACTTTTGTATGAAAAAGGATTGTTATTTTGCATAGAGAATTAGAGAACCTTAAGTAGAGAGAATAGAGTTTGAGAAATAATGATTTTTGAAACTCGAAGTATTGGGAAAAGGGTTTTTGTAAATTGGTCCAAATTTGAAATTTTAAACTCATAACAGACGTAGATAATCGATTATCTTGAGTGATAATTGATTATTACAAAACCATTTTCGCAGAGGAGAAGTTTTAGACTACGATAATCGATTATCTGGCTTGATAATCGATTATTCGAGAGCTTTCAAACTAGGATAATCGATTATCAACCCAGATAAACGATTATTCCAGTAAGGTTTTCAGAAAATATGTTTCAAAGCATGATAATCGATTATCCTGAGTGATAATCGATTATTACATAGTTGTTTTGATAAAAATGAACTTTCAAAGGATAGACTATGTGCTGCCTATCTCGGACTCTAATTTTACACACTCAACAAGACAAAACAGAGTTATTACAAACAAATGATTATAAGTCTTCAAGTCTTTAAGTCCTTTGTTCTTGAATCATCATCAAAATTTTCAAGCATCATATCATTGTATGTTCAACAGGATTACTTAAGGGCACCCCTTTTTTTAATATTGACCACCCTGATTATAGGAAGAGAACCTTGAATCTTGGCCTTTTTTAGCATGGGACGACCCATGAAGAAAAAATAGGTAAACCTTTTAGGGTAATCTAGGTAAACCAAGCTTTTGGAATCTTGAAATGTATTTTCCTCTAGGTTCTCACCCATGCCTATATAAAAGGAACCTCCCCCACCTATTGTAAAATGTTGAACATTCATGAAAATTTGAGAGTGATCTCTTTCTTAAGTGTTCCCTCTTTCTTAGTCTTATCTTGAAAATTGGTTTAAGTGATGACAACCATCACGCATCTTTTTTTATAATCATCATCTCTTTATATTTTGGTCTTTACTTGTTATTTTTCCTTATTCTACTATTCTTGTTCAAATTGAATTCTCCTCTCTTCTATTTAACTCTTGTGAAGTGATGTTTCATACTTAGATAATCCAAGTGGTTATTTTCGTGTTCATTGGAAATCTTCTTTGAGTTTTCTTATTCACATAAACACAAACATCTTACTTGCAATTGTTAAAAATGAATGATAATGAACTCTTATCATCATGTAACTGTATGTATTGTCTAATTAATTCTCAAGGTACGTCACATGTACTATCTTTGTCTTTATTGAGCACATGGACCTGTATTGTTTTCACTAATTAAGACTATCACATCAAATCAACTTTGTGCAAAATTAAATGTTATCTAATCACTTTAGTAAGCAAAATTAACTATGTGGCTTTCTTGAAAACTGCAAGTGTGCTTATCCCATGTTTAATGCATCTCTATATATGATTCATATGCTACTATTGAAAATGAATCTTCTCATTTGAATTGACTTAACTATTGTAAACTAATGTGTGAGTGTACTTGAATATCCCTTGTTTCTCTCCATCTCACATACCATACTTTATGGCATCATCATCAAGATCTCACAACATTAGTGGAAGGAGAATAAGATAATCTTTCCTCATATCTACACCAAATTAAAAAATTCATGAAATATATGAGTAGAAAAACAACGAATGTACTAATAATATTGTCATTGAAGTGAGTAAAGGAAAAATGGTTTCAAATTATTCAGAACACACTCAATGAACAAGGCCTATAAAGGTTTCTAAAACTAGAAGGTAAATTCTATTAAGAGTTGGTGAAAGTGTTTTATACCAACTTCAAAGTTTGAAAATGAATTTGTATCTAGATGAAATACATTGACTTATTGGTGACCTCTACCCTTTGAAGTAGGCATGGCAACAGGGCGGGGCCAGGCGGGGCAGGGGCAGGGGCAGATTTTGCCTCTTTGATCCCCGCCCCAGACTTTTTTAATCGTCTTCGTCCTCACCCCGATCCCCGTCGAAGTTAGAAATTAAATCCCCATCTCCGTTCCCATAAGGTTTTGGGTTCCCCCGCCTTCGTCCCGTCCTCGATCTATATTATTTAAAAAATATATTTATATTTATAATAAATTAATTTTACTATTTTTATGTATTTTTTATACATAAATAAATATTTATAACTTTACAATTTGTAATTATTATTAATTAAATATATATTATAATTTATTAAATTTATATTAAAATATGTATGTAAAAGAAATATTTAATCATTATTTATTTATAAATATATATATATATATATATAGAATCTTTATAATAATAATAATAATAATAATATTATAATATTGTATTCAAACATTTGATTACATATATAGATTAATTTATTTTTAAGTTGTTATTTAAAAATATAAAATATATAATTTATAAATAAATATTTAATAAAATAATTCTTATTTAATTAGTTCGAAATAATAAAAGTTTAAATTATTAATTATTTTTAATCATTTAAAATATAATTATAACGAGAATAATAAGATCCAAAAAGATATGATATAATAAAACTTAATAAATATAAATTATAAATAAAATAATATTAGTTACTACTAAGATTTATGTAAAATATTTATAAAAAGATAAAGAAGAAAAAAATAACTTTGTATTCATTATATTGGTTGAAAAGATTGAAAAAAAAAACAAATTAATTGGAGAGATTAAGAAAATATGAAAAATTAAAAGGTAAGAGAAATAGAATAATCTAACAAATTAATTAATATAAAAGATTAAAAAAATAAAAGAATTAAAAAGTGAGTAGAAGAAAAGTAAAATAATGGTAAAATATAAAAAAATAATTTTATATATAATAAAAAAAGAAAAGAAAATATTTTTAAAATATTAACATTTTAAAATTTAAATTTAAATATAAAGTCGGAGAGGGACGGGAGCGAGGATGGGGAGAGGGACGGGGTGAAAATTATATTACTCATCTCCACCCCTAACTTTTTAAAGCGGGAAAAACCTGAATCCGTCTCTGTCCCCCTAATTAACTCAATTTTTTCCCATGAAATTCGAGATGAGAATGGATCAATTCCATAGATATGAGTTTAATTTTCATCCTTTTAACTTAACTAGACTAACATAGAGGAAAACATACAATAATGATTGCGGATTTTTCCATGGACCTTTGTGCTTTTATCAACGCCCAAGTCATGGAATGCATCCACAAATCTTTCACTCCTTGGCATCGTCCAAGCTCCTCTTGTCCAATCGGTTACTCCACCCAGTATTCCCCACTATCTTTACTTCTTCCATGCTGCGCCTAACTGCTCCTGAAGTTTTCCCTATTCCACCTACCCAACAAGAACCTACTCTAATTGAGCTTATTCAATCATCACTCCCACCAGCTAAGAGGATGCCAAACATACCATGCAAAGACCTTCAACCCCAATCGAGACCACTCGGTGTACTCATGGGAGCTATGACTAATTATGAGAGCTATGAGTAACTCTGAAAAAATATTTATTCTTTTAACTTAAGAGTGATTAAAGGGGTTCGAATAGTGACATTGTATACTTGTTTGTAAGTAAAAAAAAATGATAATTAAGAACGATTATTTGTAATTTATTTGATTATAATGAAACCCTCACTTAGTTGGATCGAGAAAAACTAAAGTAATTGAAGTTAACTCTATTAGTATAAAATTAAATATTTTATCTTCTTTCAAGTTTAAATAATTATTTTAAGTATCACTACAAAAATAATCAATTTTAACAGGAGTTATTTTTATCTTACCGACGGTTTAATCCCCTGGTAAATATGTTACCAGCGGTTCTCAAAACCGTCGTAGAAAACAGATGTAGTTAAGTGATTCCCACGGTTTCTAGTAACCCCGGAAATTGTACAACTTACCTGCGATTTAGTAACCGTCGTTAGTTCGTGGCAGTTTATAACCCCTGGTAATTAGCCGCAGTTATTTAGTCGCAGTTTATAACCGTTGTTACTTAGCGACGATTTTGAACCCCTACTAATTAATCTGCGGTTTATAACCGTCGTTAGTTTGCAAAAGAACTTTCGTCATTTAGCGGCGGTTTGGAACCGCTGTTAATGCTAACATTTGAATCATTCTTATATTACCCATGCTATCACCCATTCTTATATTTCCCCTGTTAATCAAAGTTACCTTAATTTTTAATTGGATAAATTAATATTCTTGACATCAATATGTTCATAAAATAAATATAATTGCTAAACATTAATTCTTCATTGAATTAAAATCAAATTAATATTCTGGATATCACTTCATTCATAAATTAAATTCAGCAATACAAAAATAAAACAATGTCTTTGTTTGATGTTCAACATTTTAACAGGAAAATAACCAACAACAACAATATTTAAAAAGCCAACAATGTTATAAACACTCTTTAACTTTCTTCTTGATTTGTATCTTCATGAGGAACACTTCCTTGATCAGATACCTACAATATAAAATAAAAGTGAGTAGTAATGAAATTATAAAAAAAATATTTGATGAATTTTCAATTATTACCGTTGATGCTTGGAACATTGTAAATTGTGAAGGTAATTGACCTCGAAAATTCTGCAGTAGGAATGTCATCATTATCTTCATTTCATTGACTTGTGATGTCAATGAAGTAACCTGAAACAAAATGAACTTGAAATAACATCATTAACAACCTAAACAATATTGAAAGTGTATGTGTAACTCTTGTAACACCCTAATTTTTTACATATAATATTTTAATGTATAAAAAAAACTCTATAATAAGAAATTCTTATTTTTCTTGTGCATAAATTTAGTTGAATTTTATTAAATATGCAACATAAATTTTTATATTAAGCCCCAGCCGATTGTGTGATTAATTAGTAGTAAGGAAGTTTAACCCAAGACCAATTAAAAAGTGAAACCCACTGTTACAACCCACATTTAATACCAGTACTCTAACTTCTACTGACTCCAATATTAGTAACTTTCATTCAAGTTAACAGTGTCTATCATGAAAGGAATTTGCATAAATGCCAACAACTATGTCAACCAGTATACCATTAACTAAAATTGTACCCAATGATAAGAATAATTAACTAAAATTGAACTTAATCAAATAACATAAGAATGCAAGCCAGCCAACAAGCTAATTATAGAAGAAAAAGTAAATATAATTAAAAAATTCATTAACCTGAGTTTGTAATTGTGTATAAGAAGGAGAATTTGTAGACAACCCACTAGAAGAACGAGCATTGAATCCAAATACTTTAGATGGACAAGGACCCAAACCTAGACCACGAACACGTCCACAATGCTCTTGGCTTCCTAAAGCATAAGCCAAAGAATCCATCCTTGATATTTCTTTTGATTGAGATGACAATGAGGTTTATTCATAAGCTTGAATTTTTTTTCCTACATAAAACAAAAAGCTCCATTAGAATTGTAATGAAATTGTCAATTGTACTTTCTATTAGAATTTAGCTTACACCAATTTCCCTTGCTTCATCACTGACAAAAGCTCCATTAGTATGTCTATGGGTAGCAATCCATACTTCTCCTCTACTAACTTTATGACCACACTCTTTTTCCTATAAAAATCGTCAAAAACCATATTAAGTATGTCATAAATAAAATGATAAATATAATATAAAGATCTGCAATGTTTTCACCATCTCATCCCTCTTCCGTGCAATGCTCTTAGATCCCCCTGTATGAGCAATGGTTTGCTTTGTCCTGTTCTCTTTATGTTTTAGAGAAATATCCTAACATTGACAGAAAAATTGTTAAATGATAAAACAATCTTAAGAGAAAAAAAAAGGTTTTGCCTTTGTTTTTGAATTAATCCGATAATCAACAAAAGAAGCCAAATGATCTCTATCTATTCCTTCTGGTACCATTGCAATCAATTCATCTCTAGTACGTGTGCCATCATCCCTTTGTTGCCACAATTCTTGTCGATAGTCTCCATTTTGAGTTAAGTGACTTCAAGATGTGATTTATTTGAACATTAGAATTGACAGCAAATTTAGCCTTCAAAAAGTAGTTTAATCAAAATTAACAACAGTTACACTATAACTGAATTATAAATTCAAAATTGACATTACTTACTTGAATAGTATTCTGAATTATGTCCTCTTTGTAATCATTAGAAATCTTTCTCCAACTAGAATAGCTAATAGGAAATGCCTTGAAGTTTCTAGCAATACTTCCTAAGAACCTATTCAGTAATGCTCCAGCTTCTCCAATTGGTTGACCCTCATCATTCCAATGCACAACAATCCTTTCATTATGAGGCAAATTCCAAACATCATTTGTCTTTAAGTGCTTTGTATTCATCTTGCATTGGTCATCTATGAAGTTATAAAAGTTGTGTCAAAGAGCATTCATAGTAGTTAATTTATATATTAAGTTTTAACTTCATATATATATATATATATATATATATATATATATATATAGTGTCTTACCAATGACATCAATAAACCATGCTCTCTTGTGTGTTGCTGGCCTTTGTTGTTGTACTTGCACATCATTTTCCTCATTTTCATTTTCTTCATGTTCAAAATGTAAATGAGAGGTTGCTTGAACTTGAGCTGTTGAATCAGGTACAACTTCATATGTTGGTTGAAAATTGGACTGAGATGCATTTGGGGGCTGAAGAGTCAATGCAGGAGCATATTTGCTATGGCTAGTGGTAGGTATCCTCACTTTCAAGGTTCCTATAAAAAAATTAAAGTAATAAAGATATTACAATAGAATGAAGAAACTTCAACAACAATAACAATAAAGACAACTTACTTGTTTGAGGGGCAGATGAAGGGGGAGTGGATTGTACTTGAGGAGTTGGAATTTGAGGTGTTGGTGGATGAGTATTCATTTGACCATCAGACTTAGATTTCTTTGAGTTATTTTCTGCACAAGAGTAGTACCACAATAATTAAATACAACCAATAAAACAAAGTTAGCAAATATAAAAGAAACACTTGTCCACTAAGAGCATAAGAAAGTATAAATGAAGAAAACAAAAGAAATTAATATAAAAAAAATTGAAGATGAAGATAAGAAAAATGAAGTGTACTTTTGTTCTGCTAAATTGTCCCAGTATTCTACTTCTAACAAGAGCTACAAACAAGCTACACTACACTCAATTGAATTGAAGTAAAAATAACCACTCCTTTATTTATATATTTGATAAGGTGGTTGTAATAATGAATGTAGTGAAATTATAGAAGGCGTATCTAAATGGATCAATTTGTTGTGTTGATTATACTTTTGGAAAGACACCAGCATTGTGCACATGTTCATCACTTTATCATAGTGTAAGATTGTTGTCACTTTGTTAAATGTGTGAAAAAGGAGCACTACTTGGTGCCCACTTTGATCTTTAACTGCTCCACAAACTATAGCATATGGAATTACATGCCCCCATAAAGAAGAGGCACTTTGGGTTTGATACAATTCTGCATCATTCTTCTTAGTCAACATTTTCTTCATCTTCAGGTGCTCTACAAACAACAAAATAAACAAAACTTAAACTACCTATATAAAATATATTAAATAAATAAATATTATTAGAAAATATATAATGAATGCTAAAAATTCAAATTGATAATGAATATAAAGTAACAATTCAAAATAAAACCTTGTTAATGGTATATTTCTTTCATCATCTGAAAATAATATTTCTAAGTTTTGTTGTTGAAATGGCTCGCATTCATGAAAATTGTGATCATCATCTTCACCCATGTTGTACAAGTCTCTAGGCTTTATATGTACAGGTATGCACCAATTTTTATCCAACTCATCCTCTACATAATATACCATTTGTGCTTCTGATGCCTGAATGTATGGCTCATCATCGTCATTATCACCAGTGTGAATCAAGAGTGCAAAACTTACACTTGTAAATCCCAACTCATCAGTCACAATCCCCCTAGAAGTTGTTGTATTCGCCCACATACATTTGAACAAAACAACTGAGAATCGACCATGGTAGTTTATCTCAATTATGTCTACTAATCGACCATAGTAAGGCACACCTCCAAATTTCATTTGATTGTCACTACTACTTGCATAACTCCTAGTCCCAAATGTACCAAACACTCCACTATTTTGTGTTTTGAGCCACACGTCACGTTCCAATATACAAAACTTGAATCCATTAACATTATAGGCATTATATCGCTTTGCACAATCAATCGGACCCATGGCTAAGGATTTTAAATCATTTGAAAGGAGGCCAGTTGAGTCATTCCTTATCTAAAAGAAAATAAAAATGAACAATAAGATCAACTATCAACTATAACATACAATGGAGTCAAAGTTTAACAGTATAAATATACATACACGACGTGAAAACCACTCTGCAAATTCTCTATGAACTCTCTTGTCTATCAAAGAGGATGATTGTGTCCGACTTCTCAATTGTCTTCGCATAGTGTCTCTAAATTCTCTATGTCAATTATATAAAGTATGCATAGTTATTATGCAAGAAAAAAATAATTACAACAAATTATTAAGTCAAAATACTTACTGAAGAAATGGGTCAACTATGATGTTGTTGGTTAGCATATGACGATGTGCATGTAACTTTTCCTTTGCAGATAAAGTGAAATAAGTAAAACCCCCAACTGGTTTTCCGATTGGTGGGAATAATGTGCTTACATTAGAAGGCATAATATTAGGTTCGTCATCAACACGCTTTAATATGTTAAATACTATCTCAATTCCATCTAAGTATCTAGAACAAAATATTAAAGCCTCTTCAGCCAAGTATCCTTCAGCTATTGAGCCTTCTGCTTGTGCCTTATTACGCACATAAGACTTTAATTTTCCCAAGTACCTCTCAATAGGATACATCCATCGATATTGGACAGGTCCTCCAAACTTGGCATCTTCTACTAAATGAACAATCAAATGAAGCATGACTGTAAAAAAATAAGGGGGGAATAACATCTCCATGTGACACAATGTGAGAACAACTCTATTTTGTAATTGGTCAAGTTCATCTGTCTTCAAAACTTTATTACACAATTGTCTAAAAAAAGAACATAGATCAATCAACATAGAACACACTTCCTTAGGGAGTGTCTTTCTCATTGCCAAAGGTAGATGTTGCTCCATTAAAACATGTGAATCATGACTTTTAAATCCTCCAACCTTACGATGTTTCACATCAATGCATCTACTGATGTTACTTGAGTAACCATCAGGTACAGTTATGTTCTTTAAAGTTTTGAGAAATATATCCTTATTTACATTTGACAATGTATATATAGCTGGAAGATATCTACCATTCTCATCAGGCCAAAGATCTGGTCTAATACCCCAAAGTTGCAAGTCTTTTCTTGCCTTCAGATTGTCTTTGCATTTATTATTTGTACTATCATTCAACAATGTAAACACTATATTGTCACAAACATTTTTTTTTAATGTGCATAACATCTAGATTGTGGTGCAATAAGTTATCTACCTAATAAGGAAGCTCAAAAAATATACTTTTCTTTCGCCATTGTAGAGTGTCTACCTTAGGATGATAAACTCTTCATTGTCTTTTTGTCCTTTCTTCAATTACGGGTTCTTTCCCAAAGTCAACATTAAGATTATCAACTTGTTGTAAGATACCATGTCTTGAGATTGCCACCGGTTGACTTCTATTTTCAACAGTTCCATCAAACCTCATGTGAGCCAGTCTCAACTTATGTCTTCCATCTAACCAACGACGATGACTCATGAAGCAAAATTTACCACCTTTAAGAAGCTTCCTAGGAGTTGTATCAAAATTACATTTAGGACATGCCAATCATGTATGTGTGTTCCACCCAGATAAGGTTCCTAGTCCTGGAAAGTCGCTGATAGTCCACAATATGGTTGCATGCATATGAAATACTTCATTCTTATATGAATCAAAAGTTTTGATGCCAGTGTTCCATAACTCTTTCAACTCTTCTATTAATGGTTGCATATATATATATATATATATATATCATTTCCCCGTGCTCTCTTTCCAGGAATGATCATGGAGAGAATGAATGAACTTTGTTTCATACACATCCAAGGAGGAAGGTTGTATGGTATGAGTACAACTGGCCAAATACTGTGATTGGTGCTCAAGTTGCCATATGGATTGAACCCATCAGTAGCCAAACCAAGTCTCACATTTCGAGGGTCTAATGCATAAAGTCAAATCTCTTCCATGCTTCAGAATCTCTTAGGTGTCTTAAGATGCCTTCATCTGTACTTTCTGATACATGCCATCTCATATGCTCAGCTATTTTAGATGAGAAAAACATCCTTTGTAATCGAGGCTTTAAAGGAAAATAGTGTAACACCTTTGCAGGGATCTTCTTTCGCGTATTAGCAACAACATCATCACCAACTGCACTTTTCATTTTTGGCTTCCATCTAGACGTCTTACATTTCTTACAAAATCTCTATCTGTGTCTTCTCTAAAATACAACATACAATCATTTGGACAAGCATCAATTTTTGTGTAATGAAGACCAAGCTTGTTAATGATTTTTTTGGCTTCATAGAATGAATGTGGAATTTTAGCATGTTCAAATGCATCTGCTAACAACTCTAGTATCATGGACATAGCTTTGTCACTTATTTTTCATAGACATTTGATGTGATACAACTTGACCAAGAAGGAAAGTTTTGAATATTTATCACATCCTTCATATAAACTCTCTTGTCCATCTTGCATTAACTCAATAAAATCTGCAACATCATGACTCCTAGTATGGCTTGACTCCGGACCCATATCCTCATCATCCACCATGTTATTGTAATTGCAATGATTCCTAAATACATCATTTACCATTTCACACATAGGATCAGTAATAGGAATTCTTCCACCATCTTCTTCTGCCATTACACCTATTTCATCTCTTTCATTTACTCTTGTCTCCCCGTGTAGAAACCAAAATGTATACCCTTTTGGAAAAGGTTTAACAATCAAGTGCTCATATACTACTTCACGAGATTGCCATTTCTTAAAGTTGCATTTCTGACATGGACATATTATCTTTCCACTAACACCACTATTAGTGAATGCAAAGTCCAAAAATGTATTCAATCCTCTCATATATTGAGTTGTATTTCGAGGCATGTCTATCCATGATTTGTCCATTAAAAATAAGGTTTGTTCATGATAAGAGGATTGGAAGATTAGAATAAGTTACCATATTCATGTATGTTTATTACATAAGAAGAATTTGCTGAAAGTCATATAAAAACGATTAATGATTTTGTGTGCCTTCTTCGTAGAAGCTTAAAGAAGATTTTAAAACCAGTACAATCTGAACTGGTTATAAAACTAAGTAGCAAACCTACTTAGTTATAAAATTGATGAGTGAAACAATCCTACTTATGAAATTGAAGACTAAAATAATTAAATAATAAGTAATAGCCTTTCTTTGTTACAAAAATTGTTTACACATAGAATTAAACACTAAGTAACAGACCTACTTAGTTATAAAATTTAAGAGTGAAAGAATAAAACACTAAATACCAAACTTACATAGTTATAAAATTAAACTGGTTTTAAACCAGTTAGGAAAATGATCACAAAAGATTAATTTAAAAACTAAACAGTAATAATAAGTAAATAAGTAAAGATAAGCACGTAAGTATAACATGGGTAAATATGATTTAATTAGCTACTGAGATAACAGTCTATTTTTAAATATGATAAAGGAAAACATGGAAAACTTACTTGATCAAATTTTTCTCTCAAAATACCCGTACTTGGTGATGCCTTCTTCCCTTCAGCTATCAATCCAGCAAAGTCATTTATATTAGTTCCAATATACTACCAAAGAGTCTGCTCAATAAGTTCATGGAGGAGTTCTTACCATTAATACTTGGATGAGTTTGATAGAAGCAACAACAACGCTTGGCAGAAAAAACTGATGGGATGAGCTTTGTTTGGCTGCATAAAGAAACAAATTTTAGTTAGTAAAAGAGTGAAAATTAATCCATTGAAGCATAATATGAAGTTGGTCTAGTATTTATTATACTATGAAGTTGGCCTTCAAACAAAATGTGTGGGTATATTGACCATATAGGACTTGTAACTAGAAAAGTAAGATTAGCTAGTGTTGAAAGAAGCTTAAAGTATTGTTTCTGGCCTAGTGGTGTGTTTTGGCTCTTGACAAGGGAAGAGGGATTGTACAGCTTGAAAAGGAGCAAAAACATTTTAAGCAGCTAAGGCATATAACTTTCTGTTTAACCTAGGTACACTAAGCAATAGATCCTCATGCACAAACTTAATGGAATGACTGTTTGTGTCATTCCTTTATTTTTTTGGGTCATATAACTTTAATAGACTCAATTATTCTTCATGCCCATTGGCTGGAAGTGTGTGCAAATGAGAAAGACAACCATTTTTACCAAAATCTTGAAATTATGACCACCTTGCTGCATTACTTCCATTGCTTGGATAGTTGGGTATCACCTTTTTATTTTGCAATTTGATGCACCTCAGGATACCTAATCATATTATCTCTAAGGGTACTAGGGTAATATTGCCAGGGTCTAGGAATGGGAAAATGGATGTTCCATCAAGGATTGTTGAACCCTTTATTGGGAACTTAGAAAATATTATCCTTACAGAGTTAGCTAGGCTTGAAGGACAAATATTTTTTTTCTTGTTTATTTTAGCCTACAACCAGCAACTGAATTAAAAATCTTATTTTTCTCGACTTTGATTCTTCAAGGGTCACGTCAAAACTGAGGCATTATCCTAAAGAATATGTCCAACAATTCATGGCAGAAGCAATGTCATTTGTTTTGAGGAATTCCTCAGACGAGCAGCTCGAAAGAGGTATTGATTCCATTGATTACTTTTTGTTGTGGCTATTTCGGTTTCCCCATTTTCTTTCTTGTCTTTTATATTTTTAACCAGCTCCTCTGATTTTATTGGGCTTGTTAAATAAATTGTTTCTTGTTTAAACTCTCTTTTTGTAATTAAGCTTCTGTTGATTTGTTTGAGTGATTGCAAAACTCCTATGTTGTTTATGGGCCAGGAGTTAGAAGAGTAATTGATGATGCAGTGAAGAAGCCATCTCTATGTATAGAATCAGGTGTCAAGGCATTGCTTTTTAATATTATGAAAGGTTACACATCCAGGTTCCATTCAAAAGCAGAGAGAGTGTTACAATTGTTGACCAGTGAAGCAATTTATCCTGTTGGTGATAAAGCTAACCAAGGTAAACTTGTTTATTTTAGAAACTCAAACATTTTTAAATTTCTTATGGTAATCAGTAATTTATTGTTCCATGCATTTTTCTTTTCTAATTTTATATGTCCCCACCTAGTGGGATAAGTTTTTTGTAGTTATATCTTGTAGTAGGTTTCTCTAATCCTTATTAAAAATTGTGGGATTCTTGTGATAGGTTTTTCTCTCATATATGGGACTGTTGTTTCCTTTATAGTGGCCTATTGATGTTTGCTATTTGTAGATATAAATCTGTGATTGATTTGTAATGCATCCTACATAATTGAAGCATATATAGTATATAAATATGAGTTATAATCCATTGATGTGTGTGAAAAAAACAAATTAATCAGTTAGTTCCAATACATTTTTTACAATGTAACATTAAAATTCAGTTAGCTGCACACGTAGTCAATTAATTTTATTTATATCTCTAATTAACACACATCACAAAAACTAATAGAGCTTAGAGCATATAAAAGGAACATAACAGATGGACTCCTCACAACTATATGCTTAAATTTGATTATTATATATAGAGATTGTAACCAATATATATCATAAATTAAATAATTGGTAAAAGAAGTTTCGATAGCATGTATACAAGTAATCTTATTTTTATACATCACTCAAACAAGTTGTTATATTTATCTCTACAAACTGTCGTCCTAACTGAATTTTATCTATCTTATCTCCTTTTACATCCTCGATGAAAATTCCTTAAATTCCCTTAAATTACAGTGTTGTCAAGAATTCCCTTAAATTCAAAGGGAACCTGCACAAACAATAATCAAAGCAAGCACACCTTGAATGATGCAGAGGCTAATTGAGAAGGAAAGAGTGTAAATAGCAGTGGAAAATAATGGAACTAAGTTGCAATAGACGAAATAAGGAAGAAAGAGGAGAAAAATACCACACACTAGGGTTTGCTTGTTGTTCGAAGATGAGAGATGCATGGTTTAGGTGCTACGGTTTGCCGGCAGTTTGCAAATGAGAAGTGTAGGGTAAAACCATAGATTGAGCCTGGTTCGTGTGGTGACTCTTTGAGGTGTCGGGTTCGAGGAAGACCACACGTTACGGTTGGCTGCAGTTCAAAGATGAGAGGCCGTTAGAGTTGGTTTTGATGTAGGGGAAAACAAAAAAGGGTTGCGTGAAGAAGAAGAGAAGACGACGTTGGTGTAGGTTTAGAGAGAAGAATAGATGAAGAGAAGTGGTAGCGAGAGGGTTGGTGTAGGTTTAAAGAGAAGAAGAGACGAAGAGAAGCGGTAGTGAGAGGGTTTCCTGAAAGATTAGGGTAATGTGAAATATATTTTATTCTTAACGGCGGTTTCTATATAAACCGTTAGAAGTTAATTTAAAAAAATAAAATAAAATACGTTAAAGACAGTTTATTTTATAAACCGCCGGGAATTAAATAGGATTATAAAACCGTCGTTAAATTTATACATTTTCGGAGGTTTCATAACCTTCGTTAATAACCCCTGTTATAATTCAATATTTTTGTAGTGTATCATGGAAATCTTTTGAAAATCAAATAAGTAATATAAAAATGTACTCTCCTTCATACAATTGGATCAATTATTATGAAAAGTTTTGAAGGTCTATTCAAACTTTCATTTTTAGAGCTTACCAAAATAAATTGTAGAATGACATTTTAAAAAAATAGAATAACATTAAAAAAAATAATTAGAGAATTGGGGCAGCGTGTGGTAAGTCCCCTCGAGATTCCCGAAGAGCGGGGGAATCAGAGTCGCAGAATCGTGGTGGGATCGGGGGTATAAGTATGAAAGTGGGAACCCTTACTATAGAGCTATAGCTTTTGGCTAAGTGGCTACCGCTACGTGTTCATCCTTTGGTGGATCGGGGTTTAAGTATCAATGTGGGAACCCTTACTTGCAGCGGTAGCCACATAGCCAAAAGCTATAACTCTTAGTAAGGGTTCCCACATTGATACTTAAACCCCCGGTCCCACCACGATTCCGCGACTCTGATTCCCCTGCTCTTCAGGAATCTTGAGGGGACTTACCACACGCTGCCCCAATTCCGTCCTCGGTAGGAATCGAGTGCGCGTCCTCGCTCTGATACCAAAGGATGAGCACGCAGAGGTAGTCACTTAGCCAAAAGCTATAGCTCTAAGTTAGAGCAGCCACTGTATACACCAACCCCTAGGACCTTCCCCATATACACCGCTCGAATTCCCCCGCTCTTCGGGATTTTTCCTGAGGACTTACCACATTGCCTCCAAATCCGTCCTCGGCAGGAATTGAACGCGTGCACAGGCTGTGAACCCAAGCATTAGGTACAAAGCGCTTATCGCTTAACCACAAGCTATAGCTCATAGAAAGGGTTCACACTTTGATACTTATACCCTCGGTCCCACCACGATTCCGCGACTCTGATTCCCCTGCTCTTCAGGAATCTCGAGGGGACTTACCACACACTGCCCCAATTCCGTCCTCGGCAGGAATCGAGTGCGCGTCCTCGCTCTGATACCAAAGGATGAGCACGCAGCGGTAGCCACTTAGCCAAAAGCTATAGTTGTTAGTAAGGGTTCCCACATTGATACTTAAACCCCCGGTCCCACCACGATTCCGCGACTCTGATTCCCTCGCTCTTCGGGAATCTCGAGGGGACTTACCACACGCTGCCCCAATTCCGTCCTCGGCAGGAATCGAGTGCGCGTCCTCACTCTGATACCAAAGGATGAGCACGCAGCGCTAGCCACTTAGCAAAAAGCTATAGCTCTAAGTTAGAGCAGCCATTGTATACACCAACCCCTAGGACCTTCCCCATATACACCGCTTGAAATCTTTATCTAAAATGTTTTGTTCAACAACTATCAAAGTTGTTTTGTAGTTTTTGCCTGAAAAAGGCTGTGTAGTGCCTACCAAAGGCTGTGTGGTGAAAGGCTGCGAACCCTCCATTAAAATTTTTAAAATAAAAATAAATTATATAAAAAAGGCGAAAAATCGGAGAGTAAGAAAGTAAGGCAGCAGACAAGTGGAGAGGGATAAGGGAATCCACGTAATACACCGTAAAGCAATATTTATAAAAGAATATAGATAATCATAAGGCTTAAAAGAAAATCTTTTTGTTGATTTTATACAATTTTTTATTTTTATGTTTTTTTTTATAAAGTGATTAAAAGAAAAACACACATCCAAGAAAGAGAATTTAAAAAAACGAAAATATTTTTCTTTGCAAAGACTGCCGCAATATGCAAAGTATTCCTCAACCCACAAAGGTACTAAATATTTTTGCAAAAACTGCCGCAATATGCAAAGTATTCCTTAACCCACAAAGGTAGCGTCGCAGGACTTAGGGTCATCGTGGCACTCCCTGGCCTTAACCTGCCCTACTACTTGCTGGGTATCCTAGCGAATACAAACCAGTTCAATTGCAAAAATATTCAGATACTGGTTGGGTATCCTAGAGAATACAAATCAGTTCAATTGCAAAGAATCATATTCAAGGTAACCAAGGAAAGTCCTTGCTCTGATACCAAGAGAGGGGGGGGGGGGAACTCAAGGCAGTGAACTGGGGTTGGAACCACCAGAGAACTGCTATGATACCCCAAAATAAAAGGTACAGAGAAAGCAGAAAAACTGTAACACCCTACCTTATAAACCCTCAATCAGAAGAATTAATAATTTTTTGTAGAAATTTTTTTTTTAACCGATAATAATCTTTCCCTCGTACATAATATCAATATATAAATTTTCAATAATCCATTCCTGCATTTCATCATTTTAAAAAGTACTAAAAGTAAACATTCATAATTACATATAGATAAAATACTAGTACAGTCCTCCAAAATATTAAGGGCAACATTGGGGATACTTCCTACAGAGTAGCTAACTACATAAAAGAGTAACTACTACTCAGTACCATGTAGGTCTATATACTACAAAAGACTGCCTATAAAAGTTTAGATATGTTTATCCCAATACATGTTGCCATCATTGTGGCTCCCAGCTAATGAGTATGAGTGTCATATTCATCGGGTGTGGAATCTGTGCCATCTCCCCTCTCTTCAAACAATGACCGATCAGGTCCAACGAGTACCACAAGCACAAAGGAAATAAAGAAAACAGAAAGACAAGAGCGTGAGCAACAGTTCATACATCATTTTAAAATCAACATCATAAACATTCACAAGTCAATCAAATTCCAAATGATTGATGTTAATGATGCATGATCCTAATATGTTTTCTAAAATGTTTATGCATGCGGGCCCGAATCATTTCTCAAATCAGTATTGGGGTAGCCAGGAGTTGACACTACTAGGCATGGAAAATCCACCCACGGGATTGTTGAGACCCATGCTCAAATATAAACCCAGTAGTTCACTGACCATTGATATACAGTAAGAGCACAGTCAAGTACAGGAGAGTTTGTACAGTGGGATCCCCGACAACAGGTAGCGAGCCTGGGTCTTTTGGGGCCTCCAACCACTACCCTTCCTATCCTCAAGTCCTCCCTTAGGGCCTCCCTATCGTATTCTCAGAGTCCATAATCTCTGATTCCCCAGATTTCACAAATCACCATTTTTAAATGAGTAGTGTATGAGTCCCATTCTTTTAATTTAATTTTCAATGAATTTTCTCATGAAAAACCACCATGCATATAAATGCTCACTCAAAGACAATACATATCATAATAGAGTACCAAGCATATAATGAAATCACAATTATCAATCATAACAAATTTAGACAAATTCAACAAATAAGGTCAAAAAAGTTTATGATGTAATCCTTACTATATAGCCCACCCCTTACCTGATACGTCCACATTTATTCCTTTCAAAGCTTGATGTTGTGTTTCAGCAAAATCTATATACGTAATAAAATGCTAGTTAGAATATTATATTTCTATTATTCTATCTCATGAGAATTTAAATTCACTTTGTATTGCTAATCCATTTCTAATAATATTTTAAGCTCACATTCAGCTTACAATTAACTTAGAAAATTATCGTATTTTGTAGGCACTTAGAGTAGAAATAATCCTAATAACAATCATGGATAAGGTTTAGTATTTCGAAATTTTCTAGAGTTATAAAAGCTGTTTTGGCATGAGATTTGAGCCAAATTTTCAATAACTTAATTACCTACAATATTGATGAAGGAAATAAATTCAAATACCCTATAGAATAGATGCAGTTTTCAGTTTTCAGTGGTTGTTTCCAACTAGGCTCAACTACAATAACACTCTGAACATGCCTTGGT